TGGGAGTGATCATATCGGAGGATCTCACCTTCAAGGACCATAACATTGTATCAATCGCATCTGCTAGAAAAATGACAGGATGGATAATGAGAACCTTCAAAACTAGGGAGGCCAAGCCCATGATGACACACTTCAGGTCACTTGTTCTATCTAGGCTGGAATATTGCTGCACACTAACAGCACCTTTCAAGGCAGGTGAAATTGCTGACCTAGAAAATGTGCAGAGAACCTTCACGGCGCGCATAACGGAGATAAAACACCTCAATTACTGGGAGCGCTTGAGGTTCCTAAAACTGTATTCCCTGGAACGCAGGCGGGAGAGATACATGATTATATACACCTGGAAAATCCTAGAGGGACTAGTACCGAACTTGCACACAAAAATCTCTCACTACGAAAGCAAAAGACTTGGCAGACGATGCAACATCCCCCCAATGAAAAGCAGGGGTATCACTAGCACGTTAAGAGACCATACAATAAATGTGAGGGGCCCGAGACTGTTCAACTGCCTCCCAGCATACATAAGAGGGATTACCAATAGACCCATGGCAGTCTTCAAGCTGGCACTGGACAAGCACCTAAAGTCGGTTCCTGACCAGCCGGGCTGTGGCTCGTACGTTGGTTTGCGTGCAGCCAGCAGTAACAGCCTGGTTGATCAGGCTCTGATCCACCAGGAGGCCTGGTCACAGACCGGGCCACGGGAGCGTTGACCCCCGGAACTCTCTCCAGGTAAACTCCAGATAGTAGAGGACAACGAGTGACTAGCTCCCTTAAGGTTTACTATGCAAATAGTAGGAGTCTAAGAAATAAGATACATGAGCTAAGATTGCTTGAAAGTGCAGGTAATATAGATATTATTGCTATAACTTAGACATGGTTCAACCTGAAAGATAGAGAAATGCCTTCTGAATGCAACATACAGGATTATAAGCTATTCTACACTGATATGGTCAACAGGAAGGGTGGTGGAGTGGGGATGTATGTCATAGAAAATTTAAATTGTTGTCTTAGACATGATATAAGTTTAAAAACATCAGACGCAGAATCTGTTTGGCAAGTTTCTTGAGGGTCATGACAGATTAATTTTGGGTGTGATTTATAGGCCCCCAAACCTTGATAGGGAGTGCAGTAAGCTGTTATGGGACAAAATTCATAAGGCATCTAGTGAGGAAACTGTTGTAATAATGGGAGATTTTAACTTTAGACAAATTGATTGGAACAATATGACAGGAAATCTCGAGTCTAGTGACTTTCTTGATACAGTTCAGGATTGCTTTTTAAAACAGTTTGCGCCAGAACCAGCTAGAGGAAACAATCTACTTGACTTGGTTCTTGCCAACAAAGAATCACTAATTAATAATCTTGAAGTTAACAATGAGCTCGGGGAAAGCAATCACAAGTCACTTAGTTTCAATATATCATGGAATTACCCAGATCACTGCAATCAAATCTGTCCCAGACTTTCACTTGGCCAGTTTCATGGTACTGAAAAATTACCTGGGTGGGCTAAATTGGGATATCCTGACTATGGGTCATGTAGGTGATCTTGGTTGCCAGACAACTTTTGTTCAAAGTAGGGAAATTAGATCTAACAAAAATGATCCCAAGTGGATGAACAATAGATTAAAACATCTCATTGGTCAAAAGAGTGGATGGGCAGCTAAGAAATCAGTACAGTATATTGAATTAAAAAGAGAAATAAAAGGAATAAGAAAAGCTAAAAGGGATTATGAAACTAAGGTCACAAGGGATTCAAAGACTAACCCAAAAGGGTTCTTTCAGGTATACAGAAGTAAGATTAGGGACAAGATAGGCCCACTTAAGAGTAACTCAGGTCAGATCACTGACAGTAATAAGGATATGTGTGAAATTTTCAATACTTACTCCCTCTTAGTTTTTTACCTAGGAAAATACTAGCGAAATTCCAGAAATAATAGATTATGTAGAACAGGACAATAAACTATGCATGATTAGGGTAACTAGTGATGTGATTCTCAGACAAATAGAGAAATTAAAACCTAACAAATCCCCAGGCCCTGATGAGCTATTTGCAAGGGTGTTAAAGGAATGTAAAGAGGAAATTAGCAATCCTTTGGCTTATCTTTTCAACATATCACTACAAACTAGCATAGTGCCTGATAAGTGGAAAATGGCAAATGTAATACCTATTTACAAGGCAGGTGACAAGTCCTTAGCTTCGAACTATAGACCAATAAGCCTTACCTCCATAGTGGGAAAATTTATGGAATCAATAATTGCCGAAGCAATTCGTAGCCATCTTGATAGGCATAAATTGATTAATAAATCTCAGCACGGTCTTACAAAGGGGCGTTCCTGTCTTACAAATTTACAAACTTAATTCACTAAAGTATTGAAGAGGTAGATCATGATATTGAATATGATATTGTGTATATGGACTTCAGTGATACTTTCGATAGAGTTCCACATCAAAGGCTATTGAGGAAACTTAAGGCACATGGAATAGGAGTAGTAGTTTTTTCCTGGGTAGAGGCATGGGTGACAAATGGGCAGCAGAGAGTTTGCATAAATGGGGAGAAATCAGAATGTGGGCATGTCACAAGCAGTGTTCCACAGGGGTCAGTGTTGGGCCCCTTGTTGTTCACAATCTACATAAACGACATAGATGAGGGAATAAGTAGCGACATAAGCAAATTTGCTGATGACACCAAAATAGGCCATCCAATTCATTCTAATGAGGACATTGGAGGACTCCAGGATGATTTGAATAGACTGATGCAGTGGTCAGAGAAGTGGCAGATGCAGTTTAATATAGACAAATGCAAAGTTTTAAATGTTGGACAGGAAAATAACCATGCCACATATAAACTAAATAATGTAGATCTTAATATTACGGATTGCAAAAAGGATTTAGGAGTTCTGGTTAGCAGTAATCTAAAACCAAGACAACAGTGCATTAGCGTTCACAATAAAGCTAACAGAATCCTTGGCTTCATAGCAAGAAGTATAAATAATAGAAGTCCTCAGGTTGTTCTTCAACTCTATATATCATTGGTTAGGCCTCATTTAGATTATGCCGCGCAGTTTTGGTCACCGTATTACAGAATGGATATAAATGCACTGGAAAACGTAAAAAGGAGGATGACAAAGTTGATCCCATGTATCAGAAATCTTCCCAATAAGGATAGACTGAGGGCCCTGAATCTGCACTCTCTAGAAAGGCATAGAATTAGGGGGTATATGATTGAGGTGTATAAATGGAAAACTGGAATTAATAAAGAGAATGTAAATAACATGCTAAAATTATCTAACATAGTCAGGACTTGCAGCAGTGGCTTTAAATTGGAAAAATTCAGATTCAGGAAGGATATAGGAAAGCATTGGTTTGGTAATAGAGTTGTGGATGAATGGAACAAACTCCTGAGTACTGTCATAGACTCTTAAGACGTATAGTTTTAACCCTTTTAGGGTTTCGGACGTACTAGTACGTCTTACGCGCAGGGGTTTTTGACGTACTAGTACGCATAAATTCTAGCGCCGTCAAATCTCGCGGGAAAAGGCTGGTAGGCCTCCATATGAAAGAATGGGTCTATGTGGTCAGTGTGCACAGTATAAAAAAAATCCTGCAGCACACAGTGCATAATGAGAAAAAAAAAGCTTTCACCGTTTTTTTGGCATAAAACAGCGACTTTGCACTGTATTTTCGTATGGTATTTATTGTTGTATTCTAGTTTTCTTGGTCTCATTTTATAGAATGGAATGCATATCACAGAAATTGAGATGATTTTCACTGGTTTTACAATGAAAAGTACCTTGAAATTGAGCTCAAAGTAGCAGAAATGTTCGATTTTTACCAAAGTTCAAAAGTAAACAAATCATGCCAAGCGTCCAATACACGTCAAATCGGTGAGTCTAACATTCTTTTGCAAGTGCGCCAATATGATTTATACCATTTTTTACACTAATGCAGTAGTCTGCATAACAGTAAATATTCTATTTTTCGTGAGAATAAAAATTCAAAGTGGAAAGCAAAAGAACGTAAGAGGGGCCTTGAGACGTGACTAATGAACAGAAGAAATGTCATTTTAGTGCCAGGAATGTATTTCTTTTTTTGTTCTGGACCCTATTCGGAAATTGGCATTTTTTGAAATTTGTGTGAAATTGGCAAAATTGCTAAATTCTGACCACTGTATTGGATAGTTGAAAATGGTAAATGGGTGGTTTCTTGCACTCATTCAATAGAAAAAATGTAGTTCTAGCGAAATATTCATGTTTTTTGTCGACTAGTACAGAGGAATTGGCCGAAAATGGGGCTCAAATTGGGCAAAATCGCCGATGCGTAAACATCGCCGAGACCGCTAACTTCGCGAGAGCATAATTCCGTAAGTTTTCCATCAAATCTCATAATTTTGGTGTCATTATGATCGGGAAAAGATTCTCTATCTTTTCATAAGAAAAAATTATTTTTTTTTTAAATTTGGCCGACCCTGAGAACGAGTTTCTGAGAGGGCCTGTCGACCCTCAAAGGGTTAAAAATAGGTTGGATAAATACACAAGTGGGTGTGGGTGGGTGTGAGTTGGACCTCACTAGCTTGTGCTACTAGGTCGGATGTTGTGCTCCTCCCTTAAGTGACGAGTCTGCCCTCACTAGGTCAAGGTATTGGCTTAAGCTGGTGGGAGAATTGGACCTGCCTCGCATAGGTCAGTAGGCCTGTTGCAGTTCTCCTTCTTTCTTATGTTTTCTTGTATACAAAATGGTTACAGAGGTGATGTTTAAACATGCCATTTTTATGAATAAATATCTTAAAAGAATTTTTTGTATGGTTAAAAACTAATTTTAATGTTTAAATGACAACTGAAGTAGTATATATTTTATGTAGCTAATTACTGTACTACATACTATGCACAGTACAGTATTATGGTACTATACTGTACAAAATAGAGAACATGAGCTTCCTCAAAATATTTTGAATTAATTACATTACTTGTTGCACTGACTGTGCTAAAGTGTTGTCTTGCAGGAGTAACTGCTCTCCGGGTGTGAGTGCCATCTTACGACAGCTTGCACCACGACCTGAATTTCTTCCATTACACTCGGAGTCTTCAGCTCTTGACTGGATATTCATGGGCAGCGAGGGACCTGGTGCTGCTTGGCACGTGCGTATCTGTTGTGGCTTCCTTTACCACCCGCTTTTTCTACAATGACACTCCTTTCATTAATATTAAACAAGCCTTTATTGATTTTTGATGCTTTTCTCTGGAATATTCTTAAATGCAGTTTACCCTCTTTGCCTTCCAGGTTGGTAGCACACATCTACACCTAACCATTTAAACTTACGTCATGCCTGTATTATTAAATATTATTATTATTATTGGGGGATTCCATGTGACCCCTTTGAGGGTCACTGCCCTAGGAAATGGGAGGCAATCAAGTTTGATTCAAGGAAGAGAGGCCAGGGCCAATTCCTTTGATCAAAAGCCCCTCACAAGTATCAAGAACCATCCTTCTAGGGATATTACTAATGTATAAATGTGCAGCTGCTGCAGTTAAGTATTCCCACTTTTCCACATCCTGTTGTGACTTAATTCTTTCAAACCATCGCTTACCAAGAAGAGTTACAGTACTTGCACCCACTGAAAGCGGGTGCAAGTACTGTAACTTTATTTCTCAAAAATGTCGTTGAAAAAATTTTACTTCTTGTTTCCATAAACTAGTAATATTTATTAATTATCTAATATTTATAATTTCGTATGCATAAACAAGCTGCTCTAAATTTCAATTACAGTACTATTTAAGTAATAATATTATATGAGTAAATGATTCACAATTTCTTTTTAAAATCTTTAATATTAGAACAGTATTTTTTATTAATAGCATTAAATCAAAACTTGTTTGCTCAAATGTATTTTCAGCTGGACTATGTACAAAGACCCTCATGGCAAGCTCAGATTAGTGGCACTAAGACTTGGTACTTCAGGCCAGTCCCAGAGTGTCAGCAGGTGTGCCACTCCTTCAATGTTACTGTCAGTAAGGGAGATATAAGTAAGTATTATATAAGTAAGTAGTATTGTCATCAAGAAAATATTAATCCAGAGATACCAAATGTTCTTCTAGTGGCCAGAATAAATACAGTAAAAATATTCTTAAGCCTCCCAGTAGTTACATTAGACCGTTATATTACACAGTGGCTACATTCCTGAAAATGCCGTGTTAGGTAAACCTGTGTTAGATAAACTGAAGAACTTGTGGGAGAAGTAGTGTTATGTTCTGGGGGGGGGGGGGGGGGCAAAAAAGCCAAACAACTTTTTTTTAGACCAACATATCTTACAAAAATAAAAGTGAATATGTAATTGTAGTTTACTGTCATGATGTATTATGTTTTTACTACTTAAGACTACAAATGCAACAGATATAATAGTATTTCTCACCTTAAATTGTGGGTACTGGTGTTTGTGGATGATTGTGAAGAGAGTGGAGATGCATGGTTTGGACCTACTGGGCTGAGGTGGATGGTTGTTGGCATAAGTGGATGGTAGAGGTTCTGGTACTAAAGTCGATGGTTGTATTGGAATGTATTGTAATGGATTTCTGGGCTCTTTTACCCTGCAGTACATTATACAGCTGATGGCAAGACATCATCAGCTGGTCCAGACCCCATTTCAAAGAACTGCTTCTAGATTTGTCAGGGTTCTCTTCAGCGAAAAGTCTGCTAGTTTAGCAGCAACATGGAACTCCTCATGTAACTGCTGCAGTGTTAACTGGTTTTTCTTCAAGTTTTTCTTCATCTTCTGTTATGTGGCTCCCTTGTATCTGTGCATCGAGCTCTGCCAACATTTCCTCTGGACTCCTGTCTTCATCATTATCATCTTCTAAGAGCTCATTCATATCTTCAAAACCATCAACTGGCAATCTCCTTCCCAGGCACTTCATTCATGCACTTCTATCATAGCTGATGGCATCTGCTATGTTAAATTTATTCCAGAAACTTGGCACTGCCAGGTTGGAGTCAGAGTATATTGATGCAACTAGTTTTTTCATAACCATTTTTCTTATAGTTGCATTTGAATGACTTAACTCCCCAATCCAGTGGTTGTATTGAAGATGTTGTATTTGGAGGTAAAAATACAACTTTTACATGTGGGGTAACATCCAGCGAAGCTTGTGGATGAGTACAGGAATTATCAAGAATGAAGAGAGCCTTGAATGTATGGTTCTTGCTGTACAGGTAAAACTTAACTTCAGGAATAAAGGGATGTTTAAACCAATCAAAAAATATTTCCTCTATCATCCTCTGTCAATCCACTCAAGCAACAAGTTTTCCGTTTTATTTACTTGTTGTGATCTATGTGTCATTCTTTTCATGAGATGACATCCTGCATTATTCATTACACAAGCTCGTATATTCACCTCATTCTTTTTAATTGTACAGACTGACACTTCATTAAGGCCATAGGCCCTCACCATATCCACCACATGTGAGCCACTCTTAAGCTTGTCTAATGTCTCGATTTTCTTCGTAACTCCTAGACTTAAACACTTGACCTTTTCCTTGCCACTTTCAGCAACACTTGTATGCCTACTGAGTACCATGATTGCTTGGCAGCTACAAGATATGGCAATTAAAAGATCTAAACTTAATCCACAAACATAATAAATACAGCTAGCTCCTACACAGCTAGCTCCTAGCTGTGTTGGGGAGGTATCCTGCAGGCGACACTCTAAATTTTTTCCCCTCCCACAGACCAAACCGAACCATGTTAAGTTAATTTTATGAAGTGTTGTATAAAATTGTGCAGCAATTTTTCAATAGTGCAATAACCAAAACGTGCCAAATAAAACCGTGTAATGTAACTGTCTACTATATTAGTATTCAGTATAATGTTCACTTTTGAGAAGGGATAGCTCATTTAGGTCATTGTGAATATTAAAGCTGAGCTAAGTACATGTATATGAAATTAAGGCATTAATTATGCAAGTAAAAAAATATTTTAAACTTTTAAAGTTTTCATTATTTTGCTCACATAAAAGAGGCTGGTAGCCCCTTCTACTGTATCAATTACTGTACTAAAAACATATAAGGTAATTTTAAAGTTGTATTGTTTGAGTGTGTATAGCTGTAATACTATTGATAAAGACTTGATTGTTAATGTTATGAATGAAAAGAAACTGTCTTAGAATTAACTGAAACAAAGCTGAAAGGGGTGAGAGAATTTTAATGGGGAGGAGTAGATGGGATTAAATCAGGTGTATCTAAAGAATTAGAGCTCAAGGATTGGTGGTAATACAGTATTAAAAGCTCAATTATGGAAAGAAATGAGGGGATATGGGATGTATGAGGTAGGTTTTTGGAAGTGTGTATGCATGTTGAAAATGTTATGAAATACCAGCAAGTTGATGAATAAAATGTGTAACAGTTGGGTACCTTTATTGTTGCACATGTGTTATACTCATCAAGTATTTATGCACCTGGTAAGAAGAGTTGAGGAGAGATATTGGGAGATGTTGAATGTTTAGGGTGCTTTGAACCAAGTGAGAGAATAATTGTTGAGTGACCTATATGCTAAAATGAGAGAATGTTTTAAAGGACTTGGTAGGTAAGTTTGGAGTGCCAGGCATAAATATCACTGGGGGACCTCTAATTAAATGATGTATAGAAATATTTAATAATAGGTTATTTTAAGAAAAAGAAGATAAACAAATGTCTGAGTTATGATGTGCACATTGACAGCAGTTTGAGAGACTGTCTTGGTTGATGGATAGACTTATGCTAGTGCATGTTTTTGTTAGAGGAGCAACTGACTTGTTAGATCATTATTTATTGGTAACTACTGTAAGAGTCAGAGTACAGTAAAGGTACCCTTTGTGGTTACATTAATCAGTACTGTGTTTTCGTATATATTCATGAGGAAGCATTAAACCCTTAATGGTCATATAAGGCCTGGGGAATGGAAGGCAATCAGATTTGATCTGAAAAATAAGAGGTTAGCACTAATGCTTTGGATAAAGAGACCTTCACCAGCATCAAGACACCTTTCCTTGAAGGGTGTTATCAGATTCCTCCTTTTCCCATACAAACAAGGATTTGAAGTTTTTTTTTTTTTTTTTTTTTTTTTTTTTTTTATTGTAACTTGTGGTACATTTCTGAGCTCTCTGTAGTCATCCTGTAGCATGTCTGCAATTTTTTTAAGGTGAGAACACTACTCTGTACTCTAATTATAGTTTAATAAAATAAAAATAAAATTCTGTATACAGGACGAGCAAATCTGTGGCAAAAATTATGGTGTAGTAATCACTAGGGTTTGTCTATACTGTACTGTACTGTATATGGGTTGGCGTATGCCAGTAACTAGTCTTCCTGTTGCTTACGGTATCTCTTATTACTGCTGAGTATTTTTGCTACTTTTTTTTGTTTTAATAACCATTTAATTCATAATGAATGATAAGAATATGAATACGAAGTATTGTAGTAATTTTTTGTAGGACTTCAATATTTATTTTATCATATTTATATAAAAATAAAAATTACCAAAACAATACTTTAGTAATCACCAAGAAAAGAAACAAAAACAGTAAAGGCAAAACAAAAAGTAGAAGCAAAGCAAAAAGATCTGTAGTAAAGTGTATTATGTACAGTATTATTATTAAATTAAAAAAGTTAGCAAAAATGCTCAGCAGTGAGAGATATTTTAAGCAACAGGAAGATAAGATAACTACACAGGTGTTCTAGCTCCCATGGACACATGGATGAGGAGCCTTGCATTAGATTTTTACTTTAGTAAATTTTGTTACTTTACAAATAATAATGAACATGGAATAGTCATTGTCTGCTACTGTCAGATTCCATATGATATTTGAGATGTTTAACACTAGCCTTTTCTTTCAGTATTTGTTGACACTAACCAGTGGTACCACATGACCTACATCCATGAAGGTGAACTTTCTATAACTATCGGCTCAGAGTATGACTAGACAACAGCTAATGTTGCCTCAAGGCATAACTAGTCAGGAACAGTAATTCAAGTTTGACATTTTTTCTAAAGTATTAAATGGCTTGACAGCTATTGCAGATTTGTAGAAAAGAAATCACTGGCATCCCATATTCTACAGTCTGTAACCATGTTGTGTACACCAAATACTTGTTCACTATGTGTGCCAAAGGAGAGACCATAATATGGAAACATGGCATTTAGCATAATATAGTAAGCCCAAACACAGAATGACATAGGTCCTCCCCTCCCCAAAAAACAATTATGATATTTTCATATGATTATTAACCTGTATCTGAGAATTTCTTAGTTTTCCCCAATTGTACTCAAGATGTATATTACAGTACAAAACCACTCAATGAAGCAGACAGATCAGGTGCATTAAAGTATGTTTCAGTACATACTGCACACTAGTTGATCATAAAGAATATTCACTTAGTCATCCTACAATAATATTTTGGTAGAGCATTGCAATTCCTGATACAGTACTATAATATCTTAAACTTGTATGTGTCCACTACATACACAGTTATACTTTTCTTTACCACATTAGCCATTTCCACTGAAGTATGGTGACCTTAAGAATGAAATATATCAATTATTTCTTCATAACTGTTTATTACATGATGGTAGGATTGCTGGTGTCTTTTTTTTCTGTCTCATAAAGATGCAAGATGAAGGTAGTAGGTTGGTAGACAGCAACCTCCCAGGGAGGTACTACCGTCCTGCCAAGTGAGTGTAAAATGGAATCCTGTAATTGTTTTACATGATGGTAGGATTGCTGGTGTCATTTTTCTGTCTCTTAAACATATAAAGATTTCAGGTACGTCTTGCTACTTCTACCTACACTTAGGTCACACCACACATACATGTACAAGCATATATATACACACCCCTCTGGGTTTTCTTCTATTTTCTTTCTAGTTCTTGTTCTTGTTTATTTCCTCTAATCTCCATGGGGAAGCGGAACAGAATTCTTCCTCCATAAGCCATGCGTGTTGTAAGAGGCGACTAAAATGCCGGGAGCAAGGGCCGAGTAACCCCTTCTGTATAAATTACTAAATTTAAAAAGAGAAACTTTCGTTTTTCTTTTTGGGCCACCCTGCCTTGGTGGGATACGGCGGGTTTGTTGGGGAAAAAAAAAAAAAAGGTGCAAGATTTCAGGTATGTCTTGCTACTTCTACTTACACTTAAGTCACACTACACATGCATGTACAACCATATATATACACACCCCTCTGGGTTTTCTTCTATTTTCTTATTAGTTCTTGTTCTTGTTCATTTCCTCTAATCTCCATGGAGAAGTGGAACAGAATTCTTCCTCAGTAAGCCATGCGTGTCATATGAGGCGACTGAAATGCTGGGAGCAAAGGGCTAGCAACCCCATCTTCTGTATACATTACTTAACTCAAAAAGAGAAACTTTCGTTTTTCTTTTTTGGGCCACCCTGCTTCGGTGGGATACAGTAGTTTGTTTTTGTTGAAAGAAGAAGAATAGTTTATTACAAACAGGAAGTTTGTGGTTTAACATTTAACTGTGTCTACATCCAGTGAGCTATTTATGATGAGGATTATTTTTTTTTTGTAAAGTACTTTTAAAGTTTTGACTAATCCTGTTGTAGACAAAATTTAGAACCCATTAATGTCAGTATGCAGAGGATAAGAGAGAGAATTAATTAGAGGGTAGTGAAAGTCTCTCTCTTGCTTTAATATTTCTGCATCAGCCATCTGATAATAGTGGCTACCCAGTAGTCCTCCATTGAGATAGTAATAGAAAGCTTTCCCCCCCACCCCTTTTTTTTTTTTTTTTGCAGATATCCTCGATGTACTTAAGATTTTTTATAGTCTTCCATTCCATGTACAGAAAACAGCTACTACTTTTTGAAACATGAATAAAAATTTACTTTACCAGTACACTGTTAAATTCTCTCCAAGTTGGATGTACAGATTGGGTATGAAGAATATGTGCAGAACAAGCTTTGATTTGGACAATATTGTGCTCATGGTACATGTATGCATGTGAGATATATACACTGTACTAGACCATTATTGGAGGGGAGATTTTTTGCCCATCAGAGGCTTTAACCCTTAAACGGTCCAAACAGATCAACGTTCAAATTCGTAGTGCTACAAAAGTAGATCTACTTTTTTTTACATATTTTCAAATATAACAAAAAAATAATGTAGATAAAAGTTTTTTTACAGGTTTTCAAATGTAAAACAAAAAAGAAGATCTACATTTTTTTACATACTTTCAGATGTTGAAAAAACGTATATATACGTTTGGACCGTTTAAGGGTTAAATTAGGGCATTTATTGTGGGGAACATTTTATCCATCAGTCTCTTAAAATTAGGACCTCTGTTGTGTGGACTCGCTTTTTTTTTTCCCCCTCACCAGGGGCTGTAGATTAGGGCACGTGTTGTGGAGCGTTTTGTACAACAGGGAACAAAACATCTCAATAAATGTTCTAATACCACGTCTTGCTTACATACTTGTCGCTGCTTATCACAATTTGTAAGCTTAGAATAGGGCGTTATGAATTTATGATTTGACAAAGCTCTATATCCTGAGCAAATCAGTGTCACAATATAAGCTTGTTTTGCACAAGTCTTTATACCTGTCTCCCCAAGTAGTTTATCACAACTCTTAAGAGAAAAGTGCCAGATAAGCCTAGTTGTGATTTCTATTTAAGTAGTAAATGGCCAGGTTGACCAGATAGTTAATAAAATAATCTAGCCTCAGGCCAGGCTGGGAAAGTTGATTTCTTGAAACAGGTCACAGGTATGTCACAAGCCTTCATGAATTATGTGGGAAAAGCATTTTTACTTATTCTTTTTATTTTCAAGCAAATGTAGTAATACTGTTGTATTTTTTACTGTAGTAATATTTATTCATTGTTTTTATTCACATTAATGTGAAACATAAACTGAACATTTAGGTGAGGTTTCTATTACAATTATGTACTGTACAAAAACTTACTTAAGTAATATTTTAAAAATAACATAAGAGTAATATTTTTAAATTTTTGCGATAAGGAATACTAATACAAATTGGAAAAGATAATCTAGTCATTCAGGTCAGTGTTATAACTAGTATTTAGATGTTTAATAGTAATAGAGTGCAACATAAGTACGTATATTTATTGTACAGCAGTATTAATATAAGCAGAATGTGGAGTGTCCAGTGACTTACTGACCATGGTATATTTTAAGCTGGCTTCTCATGTAGGTAAATGTGTTTCATTCACTGTGCAATCAAAGAATGGTATCCCTGTACTCCATTAACCCAACCTCCTCCTACCTCAGTACACATCAGAGGACTTGTACAGTGTGTGGCATCTTCAATTCTGATATGCAGTTACATATTAGATTTGAAGCCAGTCAGAAAAGGTATTCACAGATTAATGCATGGACAGTCCAGACTTCTTACACTAGCTAAAATTAGTATGATTTCTTTCTATAAGTAATATACACCAACTTTGAAAGTTTAAAGCCAATCAGAAGAAGCATTCTCAAATCATTGCACAAAGACCAATATTCCAAAATACACATACATCAGCACTTTAGGTCTGAAGCTGCACTCTCATGTTATTACATTTGAAGGACTGAAGTTGATCAAATGGGGGAATTGGGTGCAGTCAGGTTCAGTCCAACAAAAGAGAAGACAGGTACAATTCTTGGATCAAGAGTTCCCTCAGTGACATCAAGAAACCTTCCTTGATGGGCAAAAGTTATAGAGGAAGGAAAGAAATTTGTGCCTGAGTATAATATGTGAATGATACAATAAAACCATACAAAAATATAAGCAAGTCTCACTAAACTCGTGAAATTTAAAATGCCATAAAAATTTAAGGCTTTTACATTTTTAAGTTATTTTTCCACAGTTATATTCTACAGTATTTGAAACACTACAGTCTTCTAGGAATATATGATTTTTAAGAAACTGAAATTTGCATACCACCTATGAGATGAAAGGTTGAGAAATTTTGCATATTGTTACCTACATAGACCAACAATACTCCAAAGTAAGATGCATCAGTCTTGAAGTTGCGAAGCTAGTCAGATGAGGCATACACAAATTATCACATGAAAACCAATATTCTGACTTGCAATTTCTTCAATAAAAGGGGCATTCTCCATTTCTTGCACAGAAAGCAATTTGTTTAATAAAATTAGTAAATAATAGCTTAACCCTTTCAGGGTCCAAGGCCCAAATCTGGAGTCATGCACCAGTGTCCAAGAATTTTCAAAAAAAAAAAATTGTTATTTTTTCTTATGAAATCGTAGAGAATCTTTTTGTGAAGGTAATAAAACAAAAAGTACGAAATTTGGTGGAAAATTGACGAAATTATGCTCTCGCGAATTTTGATGTGTCAGCGATATTTACGAATCGGCGATTTTGCCGACTTTGACTCCCATTTTAGGCCAATTACATTATTCCAATCAACCAAATTCTTAGCTATTTCAATAGTATTACTTCTATTCTATCGATTGAGCACAAGAAATCGCCAAGTCAACTGTTTCAACTACAAAATAAAGTGATCGGAAATTGTTAATTTGGCCAATTTAACACAAAGTTCAAAATATTCCAATTTCAAAATAGGGTCCAGAATGAACAATGTAGGCATTCCTGGCACTAAACTAACATTTCCTCTGTTCATTAGTTATGTTTTGAGGCTTTACAAATAAATTCCATTTTGATTTTTTATTCACATAATGAATTTTTATTCACACCAAAAAATAGAAGATTTACTGTTATGCAATATTGTAATAATTGTATAAATATCATCACCATATTTGTGAATGTATATTAGACCCACCAGCTGGTGTGTATTAGACGTGTGAGGTCGTTTGTTTACTCTTGAATATCGGCAAAAATTTAACATTTTTGCTACTTTGAGCTCAGTTTCAAGCCATTTCCAGTGCTAAAACCAATCAAAATCATCTCTATTTCTGTAATATGTCTTCCATTCTATCAAATGAGACCAAGAAATCGCAAATACAACTATAAAAAACATACGAAAAAACACTGCAAAGTTGCTGTTTTAATCGAAAAATCATGATTTCATTTTTTTTCTCTCATTATACACAGTGTGCTGCAGGATCTGTTTTATGTGGTGCACACATACCACATAGATGTATTCTCTCATATCTAGGCCCAAATGTACCACTCACAGTTTATCAGAGTGAGCTGAGCTCATGGCGTAGATCTACGGTTTGGACCCTGAACGTAAAGCCGTAGATCTACGGGACGGACCCTGAAAGGGTTAAACACCCAAAAATCAATGTAAACCTTCCTTTGAGTCAATTTGATCAAAGGCATTCTCCAGTTATTGATTGGAATTTAACATTTTCAAATTTATTAAATGTCAGTAAACTGGCAAATTTAAATCTACACAACTTAAACTTACAGGATACTATCCTGTTCATAAGATACATCAGCCAATACAGAATCTGTTCAGAAGAGTCATACTCTTAGTTATTTAACCCTTGTGGTTTAGCACTTCTTTTTGATAATAATAATAATAACAATAATCTTAGTTATTTAACACGTAAACGGTCCAAGCAGATGTATGTTCACATGTGTAGTGCTACAAAAGTAGATCTACGTTTTTTTACATATTTTCAAATGTAACAAAAACAAAAAAGTAGATCAAAGTTTTTTTTACACATTTTCAAATGTAAAAAAAAAACAAAAAGAAGATCTACTTTTTTTTTACATACTTTCAAATGTTGAAAAAACGTATGTATATGTTTGGACTGTTTACGGGTTAAAAAGAAATGGCAAATTGGTACCTACACACTCCAATAAGAATCCCAATCACTTTCTAAGTAGCATACACCATTGTTTAAAGCTTGAAGTTGATCATAAGAGCATTCTCAAGTTACCAAGATCAGGAATATATAATTGACCAATGGGCACCTGCATATGCCAGTAGTTAGATGAACTGAACATTTTCTTGTTTACAGTAAATCACCTTTTACTGTTTTGAAGAAAGTTAGCCCTTGTGGCTTAGCGCTTCTTTTTGATTATAATAATAATAATAATAATTGAAGAAAGTTGAATGAGGTATTTTCATTGAAGATCTTAGGTTAAAGTAATCTCTGGCTGGTACAGTATTATCATATTTTAAAACTTTCTCTTGCAAAAACAGCCTGTTCAATTTTCCTCATGACTTGCAATTGTTAGAATACTTGGCATATCACTGCACCAAAGTTTTACTCTGCTGTTTGAAAAAGGAGATGGAAGAAAACTTTAAATACTATCAACAGATGTGTTCTCTGTGTTTTTTAATTCGGCTCTGTATGACCCTTATGGGTTTAGTGCTTAGTCATAATAATACATTTTTAATTCACATGTCTTCATCAGTCATCATAACCTATGGCTATATATATATATATATATATATAAAACTAAGGTGTATCTAATGAGCATAATCACAAGGATCTGGAGTGGCTTGCCCGGCTTCAGTCAATAATACAGTGGAACCTTGGTTTTTGAACTTAATTCATTCCAGATGATGTCAGTTCGACAACCAAACCAATTTTTCTCACAAAGAATAATGTAAATAGAATTAATCCGTTCTAATCTAAAAATGACAATATAATAATTTATTAATAATAATGTACGTATTAATACTACGTAAAACGATTCATAAAATATACAGTTTCCATGTGCTGTATAAAGTGAATTCTAAATGAAAATTTACATACGGTAAAGTAAATGAAAATTTAACTGTTTCTTACCTGTCAGAGGAGAGGTAATGATAAAATTCTGGCGGCTTCAAATCTTGTGGGAGAAAGCTGGTAAGCCTACGTGTGAGAGAATGGGTCTGCATGGTCAGTGTGCCCAGTATAAAAAGAAAATCCTGCAGAATGCAGTGCATAACGAGAAAAAAAAAGACCACGTTTTTGGTTTAAAACAGTGACTTTGCGGTGTATTTTCATGTGGTATTTATGGTCCTATTCTCGTTTTCTTGGTTCATTTGATAGAATGGAAGATATATTACAGAAATAGAGATGCTTTTCAATGGTTTAAGCCTAAAAGTAGCTTAACCCTTTGAGGGTCCCCAGGCCCTCTCCCAGACTTGTTCTCAGGGTCACCCAAATTTAAAAAAAAAAAAAAAATTCTTATGAAAAGATAGAGAATCTTTTCCTGATCATAATGACACCAAAAGTATGAAATTTGATGGAAAACTTACGGAATTACGCTCTCGCGAAGTTAGCGGTCTTGACGATGTTTACGCATCGGCGATTTTTGCCCACTTTGAGCCCTATTTTCGGCCAATTCCAGTGTACTAGTCGACAAAGATCATGACTATTTTGCTAGAACTCCATTTTTTTCTATCGAATGAGTACAAGAAACCACCCATTTACCAATTTCAACTATCCAATACAGTGGTCAGAATTTAGCAATTTTGCCAATTTCACACAAATTTCAAAAGATGCTAATTTCCAAATAGGGTCCAGAATAAACAATAAAGACATTCCTGGCACTAAAATAACATTTCCTCTGTTCATTAGTCACGTCCCCATGCCCCTCTTACATTCTTTTGCTTTCCACTTTGAATTTTTATTCTCACAAAAAATAGATGATTTACTGTTATGCAGACTACTGCATTAGTGTAGAAATGGTATAAATAATATCGGCGCACTTGTGAAAGAATATTAGACTCACCAGTTGACGTGTATTGGACGCTTAGCATGATTTGTTTACTTTTGAACATTTCTGCTACTTTGAGCTCAATTTCAAGGTACTTTTCATTGTAAAACCAGTCAAAATCATCTCAATTTCTGTAATATGTCTTCCATTCTATAAAATGAGACCAGGAAAACTAGAATACAACAATAAATACCATACGAATATACAGTGCAAAGTCGCTGTTTTAATCCAAAAACACGGTCTAAATTTTTTTTCCTCATTACGCACTGTGTGCTGCAGGATTTGTTTTATACTGCACACACTGACCACATAGACCCATTCTTTCATATGTAGACCTACCAGCTTTCTCTCATTAGATTTGAGGGCGCTAGAATTTAGGCGTACTAGTACGTCAAAAACCCTGGTGTGTAACCCATACTAGTATGTCCGAAACCCTGAAAGGGTTAAAATTGAGTTCAAAGTAGCGGAGATGTTCGATTATTGCTGATGTTCAAGAGTAAACAAATCATGTCATGCGTCCAATACACATTAACTGGTGGGTCTAATATGCATTTATGAATGCACTGATATTATTTATACAATTATTACAATTATGCAGTAGTTTGAATAACAGTAAATTTTGTGTGTGTGTGTGTGTGAGAATAAAAATACATGAAGAGCAAGCTTAACATAAGGGGCCTGGAGACATGAATAATGAATAGATAAAATGTTATTTTAGTGCCAAGAATATCTGCATTGTTTATGCTGGACCCTATTTTGAAATTGGCCTTTCTTGAATTTTGTGTGATATTGGCCAAATCAGTAATTTCAGATAATTTTAGTGGGTAGTTGAAGTAGGTAAATGGGTAGTTTCTTTTACTCAGTCTAATAGAATAAAAGGAGCTCTAGTGAAACAGCTGTGAGTTTAGTTGACTGGAACAATGGAACTGGCACAAAAATAGGGCTCAAAGTGGGCAAAATCATCAATACGTAAATGTCGCCGTTTCCACTAGCTTCGCGATAACCTAGTTAGCAGTTTCGTTACCTTCGCAAGATGCTCAGCAGCTCAAGAGATGTTTACAGCATGTGCATTAGTTACTATACTGACAAAAACCCCCACGCTGCAGATTTGGGCCTGGTGATCTTTTTGATCCGAGCTTTTGTTGGGGGGAAAACCCCAAGGGCCCAAATTTGGGAAAAACCAAATTTGCCCAAATGGGTTAAAAAAACCTATTTGTTCAAAAACCCTAAATCCGTTTGACAAGGGGTTTTTCCACTTTTAAGGACATGTTATGCCTGTAATGAAAAATTTTACTTAGCTTTTCCCTGTTGAACCCTCGGGGGTTTTTTAAACATGATGCCGCGGAGGGGCTCTTGGTCAAAGGAAATTTAACCGGGGTCTTCCTTTTTAGATTGAATGGGATTGCCTTCCATTCCCCTAGGTGCTATGGGGTTTTTAAGCGCTTCCTTTCCCCCATAAAAACCCAAAGAATAAAAATAAGTAAAAAAAATTTAAGGGGGACAGATGAAAACAAAAAAAATTTTTTCAGTATAAATTTTTGGAAGTTACTGCAGTTGATTGGTTTTCCGTTACTTTTATAAACCCCTGATAAAGTTTTGGGGTTTTTATTTTGGGAGTACCCCTAATTTTTTGCTACGGGAAAAGGGAACTTTTCATTTAGTAAAATGCACTGTTCCCATGCAGTAGTACTTGTTATACATTTTTTTTACCCTTGATGGGCCCACATATTTGTATAATATTTTTAAATAAAGCACAATTTAACTTAATAAAATGTTCTATGTTAAAAATTTTATTTTTTTTTAAACCTATTTTTTTTTTTTTGAGCAAGAAAATTTGAATTATTGTAATATTCATGATTATATATTGTTGTTAGTAATAGTAATTTTTATTTTTTTAAATTTTAATAAAATTTTCTTATTTTAACAGCTTTAGGAAATTAAAATTAAAATTGAATAGGGCAAACTATTCAAAAACCATCTTTTGATGGTACTGTTTTTCCCTTAAAAAGGAAAGGTTTGGGTCATTTGTAAAACCCCTTTGCCCTTTTTCATGCATTTTCACTTCTCATTTTTTTTCTTAGTGAAATTTGTTTTTAATGATTTTTCCAGTCAGGTTGAAAAGTTTTTGGGATTTAAAGGTACTTTTTAAGCATTTTTAAATAAAATGTTGTAATGGAAATCTAATCTATGTGGTTTTTTAAAATTTTTTTTAAAAGCAATGCTGCACTTTTAATAAATCTTATATACAAAAAGGAGACAACATAAACCCATTTTTTGTCTTTTGAGGATGGTGTGAAAAACTGATTTTCTGTAGAAGAAAAATTTGTTTGCATAACCCAAATTCCCAAAAACGCATTTTTTTCTTGAATTTTTTGGAAAAATTTAATGTTCTTCCAGTTGAAATTCAGTTTTTTGCTCTTTAATTTGGGAAACTTTTTTAAATTTTTCCCCTTTCTTTCCCTTTTTCCATTATTTTTATAATGTTTTTTTTGAATTTTTTTTTTTTTTTTTTTTTTTTATTTCATTACGAGATCAGGATTTTGCACCTTTGGTCTTTTGAAAATTTGGGAATTGCCTTTTCCCTTAAAAACGGCCCAAAACAGATCGACATTAAAATTTCGTGTGTTTAAAAAAGTAGATTACTTTTTTTTTAATATTTTCAAATATAACAAATAAAAAATGTAGATGGAAGGTTTTTTTTCTGTTTTCAAATGTTTAAAAAAAAAAGATCTACATTTTTTACTTACTTTCAGTTTTTGAAAAAAAGTATGTATACGTTTTGGGGCCCTTTAAGGGTTAATACAGTCCCCATTACGACTACAATGATTTTTCTTACTTGGGGCTAATTTGTGCCCCTTTGGGATGAACAAAAATTTTGGAAAGTTCTGAATAAAAGTATTGTAAACAGAAAGAGTAAAATTTTTATATTTTTTCAAGAATTTTCCCAAAAAAAGGGGTAAATACGTAAAACAAAAAAATCAAATGTTTCTTTAAACTGAATTGTCCCAAAAACAGAGAAAATTTTTTACAGGGTTTTCCCCACATTTGAAAATTCAGGAAAATTCAGAATTTTAAAAAAAAAATTTTAGAAATTTAAAAAAATTAATCAAAAAAGATTAAAACATCATTCTGAATTTAATTTTAATTTTTCCCAAACTGGAAGAAATTTCCAAAAAAAGAGGGACTGTACGTATTTAAACCCCTAAAAAAGTCCCAAGCAGGGTCTTTCGTTCACATGTGAGTGTACAAAAAATAAATTTTACATTTTTTTTTTCAATTTTCAAAAAGTAACAAAAAAAAAGTGAACTACTTTTTTTAAAATTTTTTTCAAATTTTGGTTTAAAAAAAAATATATACCCGTGGACCCCCGGGTTTAACGAATTTTTTTTTATCCAGAAGTGTGTTCAGGTGCCCGTATGACCCCAAATTTTTTCCATAAGAAATATTGTGAAGTAGATTAGTCCATTTTTAGACCCCCCCAAAAATACACGTACAAAACACACTTAATAAATTCCCCTTACATAATTGGTAAAATTTTGGGGGGGGTAATCGTTTGCGGGGGTTTCCAAAAATTTTTCGTTTTTGGCCTTTACGGGGTTTAACCCGGAAAAACCTCAAGTGTTAATATGATTATATTTTTAAAATGCTTTTATTGTATATAAACCCCATCTATGGAAAAGCCCACAGCCATCATTTGTTGTGTGTATGTTGCATTATATAAAAAAAATTAATTAAGCAAAAAAAATTTTTACTCCAAAAAATAAATTTTGAAATTTTGAACATATTTCAAAGATTACTTTTTTCATATCAGATAACTGTGTGACATGCAAATGTAATGCTGTCCAAAAAAGAGATCAAAACTAGATCAAAATTTGCTCATAAGGGGTTTCTGGGAAAATGTGATGGTTTTTATGCAGGCAAAAAGTGTCATGAATTCTCTTTTAAACCTCTTACAAGGGTTTAAAACTTGCCCAAAATTTTTGGTTGGGGGGCATTTCCCCAATTATCAGCAAACCAGGTTTGAATGCGTTTGTTTTGGAAATGTTAGATGTGAAAATGTCTTGCTGTTCCCGACTAGCTCCCTTTGCTGTCACACCCGTGATTTTGGCAAATTATTCATTTGGGGCTGGTCACTAGAAAATATTGTATTACAAAAAATGGGGAAGTATAGCACTTAAATAGTTTTTGCCTGGTTTTGAAGATTTACTTTATTGGTTGCATTGAAATACATTTTTGTCACATTTTTTCCCACTCTGATAGAAAAGAAATTCTTCAGTACAATTGTATTCTTAATAAATTTTGGCAAAACAGTAAAATGTATTTTGTTTACATAACATTAACCCAAAAAATTGTAAAATTCAAAGGGAAAGGGACTTGGGCAGTAAACAATTCTTGATCCAACGAATCAGGTTTGATCCTTTCCCTAGCTTTAAACCCGATTGCCCCTTTTATTCTCAGGCACTGTATAACCCCTTGGATTTTTTACTTGCCACAAATACAGTTTACCCAAAAAAATTTGGGTTGGGCCTCCTTTTAATTTTTTATCTCTTTTCCCTTTAAAAATAAGGGCTATAATTGTCATATATTGGGACAGGGACCATTCTATTTTTTTTTTTTGTTCTTGTTTACTTTTCCACATCTAATTTGTTATTTATTCATCTTTAGTTTTCAGCAACCTCTTTTTCAGCCACTTACCATTTCAGTAGGTATCAACATTTTTTTATATGTACTTTAATTGTCAGCATTGTTTCCCTTTTCCTTTAATGCTTTGTGTCCTCAGAATATTTCTACCTAATTATATTGGCCTCATAAAATCTTCCTGCAATGCTGTATTTCCAATAATACTTTACATAATATATGTTACTTGTATTATTGTATTAGTGCTGATGATTACATGGCATCTTTTATATTACTGTGCATTTTTTTGAGGTTTGAAAACTAGTGGGTAGGTGTTGTGTAGTCACTCTTAGAATGGCATACACTAAGTTTGTAGTTTCACAGTTCTTCCAGCTTGTGCCACTGGAGTTCATATATTGTATAATGCTGGCCACCACTATATTTTATTTTATTAAAAAATACTATACTGTTGCTGGTAAAAACTCCAAATTCTGTTCTTCCAAAAAATTATAAGCAGTTAAACAGTGTGCCTTCCTGTTTATATATATTTTTGTAAATGAAATAAATGTGTGCTAAAAGAAATTGCTTTTAACACCTTGCACTGAATTGTACATAATCTTCACATAAGTATTTTGTGCGAGATGGATCACATGTGTTTGTTGATACCTTTCATGTGTGTCCTCTTCACAGGGGTGAAGAGGATCTTGATCTAAGGAATTGGACCTTTTAGTCTTCTTCCTTGGACCAAACCTAATTACCCCTAACTCCTCCCTTCCCTGCCCTAAAGGTAAAAGGGAGGGGGAGGAAAAGAAGAGGGAGAGAAGGGAAAAAAGAAGAGGGAGAGAGGGGAGAGGGAAAAAAAGAGGGAGAGGGGAAAAAGAGGGAGAGAGGGATAAAAAAAAGAGGGAGGGGGAAAAAAGAGGGAGAGGGGGAAAAAAGAGATGGGGGGGGGGAGGGAAGGAGAGAGTGCTAAAAGGCAAGTTGAAAACGAGATAGGCAAAGGGCAGAGTGAAGAGAGATAGCAAAGGAGATAGGGACAAAGGCAAAGAAGACAAGGGGAAATGAGATAGGGTCAAAGGAGACAGGGGATAAGGGCAAAAAAGACAGGGACAAAGACAAGGGCAAAGAAGACAAGGTCAAAGGAGACTGACAGAAGAGGAAATGGGAAGAGAGACACAGACGGTCTTGAACTTACTACACAGTTGCTAGACAACCACATCTCGGAGCCGACTTAGCTTAAACACCAACACAGAATAAAGCAACTAAAGCTAAATCATGTTCATAAAATTGCTCACAAGCAATGTCCAGAATATCTTGCTGCCAAGTTTGTCAAGATTAGGAACCAAAACCTGTATGGTACTAGAGGAATGGAACACAGTTTTGTAGTACCTACAGCAGGTGGTCAGGCCTCAATTATTATCAAAATAAAAAAGAAGCACTAAACCTACAAGGGTCATGGTCAGGCCTCAAAC